GAGAAAGGCTCTTTGCCTGAGGTTAAGATGGTCCCAACTTGCAATGTTAGTTTAGACTCCTTAAAATCCCCTACCCGCAGAAAACTGCCATAGAAGAATTTTATTCTGCTGTTGTGGAGCCTTACATAAGCACGTTTGGCAACAGTATCTCCGTGCCCAGCTGGAAAAAGACATCACAATGTCTGACTCCCTGCCTTCATATTGGCCAGCAATTCCTCTGCTGTCTTCTCAGCTGTGGCCAGATCATGTTGCCCTTGTTCCCCAAAGGCAGAGCACTGGGGTGACAGCTGAGTTAAGTTTCAAACAATAAAAGGACTTTGGACCAACATATAAATAAGAAAGGTAAGAAAGACACAAAAAAAGCATACACATGGAAAATTCTTGTGTCATGTGCAACCCTTCTGTCCACAGATAACTGGGTGCAAACAGACAAAAGACATCTGAGTAAAAGACAGTCTGCCTTATGCCTTGCTTTTCAATTTGCTAAATGTTCCCTGGACATTAATTGCTCTCAGTGCCAAAGTTCACACACAAATGCAAATCAATAAAGATTAAAAATATAAGAAAAAAAGAACATGAAGAGAAGGAAGGGAAGAAGCAAAATCTAAAATACTACTAAAGCTGCTATTTGGCCCGCAACTCAATGAAATTTGAGCAAATCCATCTGACTCAGCTGGGAATTTCTTTACTGCTATTTACATTCAGCTCCAGATATCTATACCACTTTTTCTACGATCTATATCATAGGCATGCAATCCAATTGGGGCATCATGCTTGGCTTCTTGGCCACCAAACCTCAAATCCTGAACGCAAGTATACTACATAGGTTAGTGAATAAATTAATTACTTTTTAATTGTGGTGTAGCTAGTGTGTAGCTATGTGTTATAGCTAGATTTCCGACATAAGCTTCTGCTTTGTTGAAAAAGACAGGAAGAGCACTATTTGATGTTTGCTACTTTTCAAAAATCAGTGCAAATAAGTTCAAAGTATACTCAGGAGACACAAGATTCCTCAAGGTAAGAGTAGGTATGTAACTTGATTCAAAAGGGGAAATTATTGGCAATAAAATCAAATTCAAGGGAGAGAAAATACCACAGGGATAACCATAAATAAATAAAAGACCAAAGCATACAACATCTCTTCTGTCACTCTGCAAGCTAATCTTTAGTCAACTTTTACCCTCAGCTTTTAGAAAGAGCCTGCATTCATTAGAACTTTGACTGGAACTCCCTTCACTTTAAAAGTTGATAATTCATTCTGTCTTTAGTTCACCAGAGAAGTGTCCAATTTAAACAATGAAACACATGTCGAATAGTGTGGGGGCTGGAAGAAACAGGAAAATGCATTTTGATTTGAATCTTCTACACACTTAACAAAAAGGGGAACTTTTTTTGAAAAAGTATTGAACTATTTGGATGGTATTCTTTTAAAATGATACTTTACCATGGGCAAATTGAATAGCATTGGTGTTCAAGACTTTTCAAGCTGTTTGTTCAAAATAGCTATTTTTGTTCCAGGTGGGGCTGCACATATGCATTGTGCTCAACAGCTATGAACAAAACCACTAGAGGAAATGTTTTCTTCAGACTTTAGGGGTAAAAAAATCATAGAATAATGTTACTCCATTCTAAAACAATAGTTGCTTTTGGAATAAATGGCATTTTTCTTGGCTTTTGTGTATCGCTTATTTAAACCAACTAGTGCACTCAGGATATCATTTAATTGTGCTCAGAGGTGTCACAAGGGATTGCATTTATCAGTGCAAAGTTAAACAGTGCAGTCAAAGTGTGGGTGTATCCTTATCTGGGGGAGCTCACTGAGCAAAAGGAACTACATGACAAACATGAGGGGCATCACGAGTGGGACTTGGGATGAGCTCCGTGAAAACCTGAGTGAGGTGGTAAGTGGATATTGGGTGATATCTGCAGAGAATGTAAGGGAGAAAGAGACTTAAAGCCTCAGATATGGGATCAGTCTATTATACTTTTCTTTATACAGTAACCAGTCATGACTATAAACCAAATCAACTCAAAATTCCTTACATAGCTCTTAAGCTAAAAACCCCAACAGAATCTGACTGAAAATGATGCTTTACCTACAAAATCATGACAGCATCCTAGAATCTTAGCTGTAAAAAGAAGTTTCTCTATTAGTTGTGTCATAGTTTTAAATGAATGCTATGTTTAATGTCAATATGATGCCTCTATAAAGTATGCCTCTATAAAGTAGCTTCTTTGAAAGTAAACACAAATGGGGCAGGTCCCTGTTCTTTATTTTGCCCAGCCTCAGATTTGTATTAATTACTGATGATAGATAAACTGATGCAGATCTTGATTTGGCTAGAAGACTTGATGACAGGCTACAGTGTACTAGTAATTTTTTTAGACAACTGCATGAAGGAGCTGCCTGTCCATCTGTCACATCTTGTTTTAACTGTGCAACTTGCTTTATTAATCGAGACTTATACAAAACAATATTATTTTCTGAAATATTTATGAGCTTGTTCTCATTTCATGACCAAGCCCATGGCAATCCTCTTGAGCTCTCTCCCCAGAACGGTAACATGAGATCCACATTTCATTCATTTCCCATAAGTAATGCAGCTCATCTGCCGTGGTATATGGGGTACCATGTTATCTGTAACAGCTTACTCAAATATTTTTCCATTGCACAAATACAATAAGGAATGCTTTTTTGTAACAGTGACCTATTTATACCAGTTATGCCTCATTATTTTTTTGTACTTCAGTTTCAAAATGCAAGTCTGAGAAGATACATTCTCCTCTGTATTGGAAACATGTACATACTATAGATCAGATGAATATAAGAATGATATATTCTACTCTTTATTTCTTGAATTGGTCAAACTATTTTTTTTCCTTTGGAGATTAAACAATTAAACTTCTTAAAAGCATTTTCATTTCCAGAATGGATTAACTTATTCTGTTCTTCTATGCTTATGATACCAACAATTTGGAATTTGTGGAAATGTTCTGAAATACAGAGTAATCCCTTTCTCCACCCCTTGTGGTTTTACCAATGCATCGGTGGTTTTACCACTCACAGGGAAAGGCCACCCCTTCATGGCTAGAATCTTTTATAATTCTTGCTAAATGGCTGATTCTCCACAAGTATCACAATTTTCCTGGTAACCAAAAGAGGATGTAGTTTATACCACATTTTGCAGAAATTTGATTTTGACTAATTTACTTCCTCCTGTCCTTATTCAATTACTTCTACTTTATTTTAAACAGAAAGATTATGTTTTTCTATTTTTTCTAAAAGCCTACACTGCTTGCTAAAAGTCTTTTTAGCTTTGACTGAATAGATTGATTAATGCCACCTAAAGATTAAGTTCAGTGGAATGGCTTTAACAAAACTGATTAAGGCACCACTGTTCACATGATGAGTATGATATCAATGAATGAAATAAATTAACATGCCATTACTACACTGAGAACAAAAATAAATAAATAAATGTGTGTTTTAATTTGGTATTCTTCTCTCCTCAAAAAATGGTGTTGCCATTTACTTAGCCTTTTCAGTCACATCATAAGAGATAAGAAACTTGTTCTTACTGGGGTGAAAGAATAGCAATTCAATCTGTGTGTGAAAAAAAGAAAGGGACAAATCCTTCTCTTTTGTACAAGGACTTCATTGGAGTATTGTTTGTCTACATCAGTAGAGAACTGGCTTGAAATGCCGCATGGACATGAAAGCAAGCTATTGATTTTATTACGTGGATGCTGTTCCCCGATGGTTAACACAGTTACATCGTTTGAGCCTGGAATACTGATAAACAATTCATTTTGATTTCTGTCACTACTATTGCATCTAAGCAGTATACTTATTATAATATAATTTTAAAGATGAATCATTCTCTTCCTGTACATGTCTTGCTTCAATTCACAATGCTGTCACTAAGAATGAATATCTATATCTTCCCAGTCCAGGCTTTTACCTAAGCAATCCCTAGGTATGTCCCTAGTGACACTTCCAGTGGTTCTGCATCTTCATTATTGCCCATTAGAAAGTGTCCAGGCTCTTAAAAGTAAGGGAGTACTGCAAGTGGGGGTTATGAACAATCAGCGTTTTCTTTCATGTTTAGCAACTATACGTATCATAAGGTAGAGGAACATTGCTGAGTTGAAAAAAGCACAAGTGTAGGTATTCATAGTTTTTTGTAGAATCAAACACCTATGGAAAATGATCCTTTCTCATATTGTCATGTACAGTGGATTTGAGCTGACTAAATGTCAGCATCTGCAATGTAGATGTCTGCACCTGAGGTAGCTATCTATATTTGAGGGAGGAAAATGTTAATTTATCTAATCCTAAAGGAGACGTCTCAAGTAGGTCAGATGAATCATGGTCTAAAAGAGTTTGTTTCTCTCTACAAAAAAATGTTTCTCTCACACTAATAAAAAGAGCAAAGGGAGATTATATTAGATTTAGGTATTAAAATTAGGTGAAAAGAATCTTTCCCACGCTGAGGCAAAGTGTTAAAAGATTTCTACAAATGAATGAATGGAACAGCTAACACATATTTCCAGCTAAAAACTTACTTTGAGTCAGCTCTTCTGGAGAATTAATGAATGCAAATGTTTTATTTTTCTACAGGAAAATAATTGAAAAAAATATATGTCCCAAAATAAAATTCCAGTGCACATGACAGCTAATGGAAAAAAGCTATGGTGAGGACAATGAAGGATAGGTAAGGGAGTTGGAGTGGTATCTGAGAGATATCTTTCAGATATATGTCCTATGTAAAAACAAAAAAAAAGTAATAGCAATAGTAGTTAAAGAAGCAGCTGAGTGACAAACATGCTAAGAACAAAACAGCATCACCTGCTAGGTGAGGTGGGTCCACTTCTTCAAAGCTTACACTACGAACACAAGAATACTTTCTAGGTTTAGTTAAGAAAGTTCTATTCTGGAGACCCCAATTATACTAGCCAAGTGACAAGACTAGTCACACAACATGTTATTTTTGTCTTACCTCTATAAAGAAGAGACTAGCTGCTGACGTTGGATGATGATACATATAGACGGTCACGAGGATGGCTGCAGCCACAATGAGGACCAGGACTAGAATGCCGACAATTAAGCCGGCGTGAAGTGTTCCACCTTTCTTCTCTGCTGCACTGTCATCTGTGGAAGCTGCACAAATGGCACACTTATTAGCACAGTAACTTATGTCTTATCCATTCCATTTCACAGCTAGCAATTGAGCATTTGCTTTTTCTGTGTTACATGCTCCTCGTTTTCCACAGCCCAAGTTGGAAAAAGATGTTAGATGTCTCTTTCCCACAACTGAATACTCTCATAATCTTAATGAACAGACATTTCCAAATGTTTTACTAATTCTAACTCAATAAAAAAAATTAATATCCTTTCTTTTGAATGCAATCTGGACATTCTGAAGTTCTGAATTACCTTCATAATGAATTTTGCTTTGATTTTCTCATAAAACTATCGCAGTTGCCCTACAGACAAAAAGTACTAATTGAATACATTCTGAATGTTGTATTTTTGTTTTTAAAGTTTCAAGTTGAGACATGCCACAGACCCTTGTGAGGTCTATATAATAAACACATTCTGAAAGCATGATTCATTAGCTTGGAGAGGGGTTTTGAATCACCCTGTGCAACTGAATCAGACAGCCAAAAGTGTAACAGATGGATGTTAAATGACCCTGCAATATTCTAATCTTGGTCTGAATGGAACACTCATCATACCAAAGTATTACAGAAGACAATCCGTTTACTAAACTTGATACCGAGAGGCCGCTCATGCTATGCTCCCGTCAGGAGAAAAGAGGGCTGTCTCTGTCACACAAGCAACTTAGCAGTGCTTCCAAATAAGTGACTGGAAGTCTTTTAACAACACTGTAACCTTTGTTGAAAAAGTCTCTCAATAAATTAGCCAACATCTGTAGAACTGGTTGTGCTTGGGTATGATTTCTAATTTGGACAACCTGGAGTATCACAGCAAGTACAAACATGGTGATAAGCACTGATTCTTCAGCACCCTCTTGCACAGAAGGAGAAGTGCTGTTCTACCCACCACTGGAGGCAATTCAGAAGCCCTAGGTTTAAGAAATACCAGCAGAACACCGGTCATTTGGCTTCCCAAACTTATATCATTCTCCTAATATTCCCACTGCTTTCTGCCTTTCTGGCAACCCTTCAAATCACCTCCATGCCTCACTCCATACAAAACCTGGCTGTGGTCTCGCTTACAAGCAATTTTCTTTCAATTCCACTTTTAAATTTCCTCTCACCATGCTTGTTTGCCAAGCTGACTATAATGAAAATTGTTGATTTCTGCAGTCACCCTTTTTGTTCTGCCATACCCCTGAACTATTTGTTTTGTTGTCTTAGAGTGTCATGGTCTGTGAGGTCAGGGACTGTCCCTTTTATTCGTTCTTGGAAAACAGTTATTGAGTTAAGGGTACCACTTCAAAGAAGTTACTGTTATTGTTATTAATAGTAACAACAATAACAACAGTAACAATAACTGTACATGGTCTTTTACCATTCATCAGATTGTGACTAGAGCACTCTACGCTAATATTAAAAAAGAGAACTGGAAAATAATAAAAGAAGGGTGTATTGCTCTAGGTCCTTATACAGTGTTAAATGGCTTGTATGAGGGGCAGTAAGAGAAAATAGGAATAGTTAACCTCAGTGTAACAGCTCATCCACGTGTGGCAGCACTTTTTCTCACCAGACCAAGGAAGGCTGCATGGCCCAGCATGTCCCAGAACTGGGACTGTTTAGCCTGGAGAAAAGAGAAAAGGAAAATGAAGATGTATTATCTTAGCCAAGAGCTATTTCTAACTATAACATGGAAGTGAATCTATGGGAGAGTGAAGTGATTCATGTAAATCCCCCCTGCTTTTGTCCATATTTCCTCAATCTTGAGTCAGGACAGCTGAAACTCTGCAGTGTTGCTCTGCTTTTTCCCATGAAGTCAGTAAGACAGCTTGTGGAGTAAGGAGCTGAGTAACAGAACCAGAGGATAAAGAAAAAGAACCCAATAATTTGAGAGGCTAAACTAGGACATGGGAGGCATTAATGAATGTAATAAAAAATTGCAAGCATGGACCCCCACTCAGGTACTGCCTAATCCTGAAGGTATGCTTCTTTTTACTTAAATGTTCATGAGTACCTGTTCACAGAGGAACTTCAGTTTTAATTTTGCTGATTGTGGACATTAAGTTTGAGCTTAGGCATGAACAGGATCCAAGAAACAGGCCTCTCCCTGCCTAAATCCTACAAAGGGATTTACTTAGCTTTCTTAAAGCTTAGCTCACACAGATGTATAGGAACTTTTAAAAAAGAAAAGCAGTGTCAGCCCTATTTTATTTTTTCTTTTTTTTTTTAACACTGTACATACAGTGAAAATTTCCAGGCCATCCTTTACATTGCAGTGAAAGAAAGGAGATATTGCCTAGGATGTGGAAGATCTATTTGCAAATGTATTCCCACCTAAAGGGCACTTAAACACTTCCTGGTAGTTGTAGCACTATGTAGCAAAGGATGCAAGATTTATGGTGGAGACAGGAAAGAAAGGTGACCCTAAAAATGGTTCCTCTAACTTTCAGATAGCAGAGTCTTTTACTTGATATAACCGTTAATAACTGATTAAATAGCTATTCACTTTCAGCAGAGAATAGATGAATGTATACAAGCTCCAGTTTTAATTTCTGTTCATGCACTGTAACAATATTTAGTACTTGCGCATATATTTCAAATCGCCAAGCAAATGCAAATTAAGCAATTGAAAGGCCATCAGGAAAGGCCTGCTTTATTGCACATGCTCTGGGTTGGGCTATTAATTCCCAGTGACAAGCAGTTAGTTGTGTGAGTCACCCTACTGAGAAGTAACTGCTCCCCAGAAGGAGCAGGGAATTCATAGTTTGTCTGTCTCATAATTGTCTTTTTGACAGCTTCATACTCTTCGACTCTTTCCTTCAATGCAACATCAGTGCATCATAAACTACTTTATCACTTGTACCCATTTTCAGGCCAATTTGCACTAAATGAGTAATTTGTACTATGTTATGGTTGAAGGCAGAATATCATATTCTGCATATTAAAAAATGCTGGACTTCAGCAAAGGTCCTAACCACTCTGTAAAGGCCATCAAATTAATCCCCTTTGATTTGATATTTTCTCAGTGTTTAGCATCCAGCTTTGCAAACAAGAATGCTGTCTCTTCCAAATAATACAGGTGACAACTGCCTGCCCAGCTTTCTACTGGTCTAGGGTGGAGCACTGCACGGACATCAGTGCAGTGATCAGAATGCCAAACGCAGAAAATAATGGAATACAAGAAATGCTTTCTTAAATGACAAGTGTGAGTAACTTGTAATTTCCATAATCAAAATTCAGTTCATTGACTCCAGGGCTCAAATACTCATGAGAAATTGATTTCACTGTCTTTGCACAGAGACATTAAACAGTGTTGTCAACTTTGAAAATACTCTCTGCTGCGAAATCAACTGACGGTTCTTTTAAAAAGCCACAAAGGGAACTAGATGAAAAAATGGACACTGAAACTTTTTCAGGTGCAGAAATCTTATTAAGATTATCACAGCACATCTGCTGTTCCAGACAAGGCTAAACCCATGGGAGGATATTTGTCTTATGACCAAACCTTTCCCAAAAGGAACTTTCCAGTGGAACTTCCCCCAAACTTTCCTTTTCTTGTGCTCAAAAACCCAGCTGTTACATACAATATGCTCTATTTATAACTCTTCCTCAAATTCGTACATTTATAAACCTTTTAAGCAGAAGGAGCATGTTAACATCTGCAAGGTTAGTCTGCTTCTCATTAGGTGCTGAATGACAGCACAGAAACAGCAAGTAACTTTTCTTCCCAAATACAAAGGCACACAATACAAACATGAAATAACTGTTCTCCTGCCAGAATGCTGTTTAAAAAGTAAAAGTTAAAACACAATAAAAATGTTCTCACTGTTTGCATGATAAACACACAAAGACTATATAATCTTTGATTTTATATTATTATATTATGTCTCTAGTTAGAGTTGGGTTAGCTTCTTTTGGTGCAGGAAAAACAAAAAACTCAAGGATTTATCATGAATGAAAATCTTGTCCTGGTTCATGGGGACTGTGTGACTCTAACAGGAACAAAGGTATGTACAGACTGGGACTGATATTTAGAGTGTTTGTAATGGATACTTTCTCAATATCGTTTGTCTCACTATTTATTACATATTAACCACTGAGGCCTGCAAAACAATGAAATACAATGTATTTTATTATCTAAATTTAAGGTTTACACAAAATGTCTATTGTGATAGTTTTATGTATGAGAAAACAAAATTGTGATACATACTTGTACACCTCTCATGATATGAGATAGAAAAGAGTTTACTTACCAGAAATTAATATCTCTGTGTGTGAGAGCAGAGATACAAAAAAGTTTTATGGTAAAATAGAGGAAAAACAGGTGAAATTCTGTTACCTCCTGGCTAGAAGCTTTCCTTTATATAAAGTGACATGGAACCAAGGGCAAATGACCGACAAAAAGTAGAATTTCCTTGTGTGGACTTGGAAAATAAAGCTTTGCTTTTTCCCTCCAAGAGCCATGTCATTCCTTTTTACTCTTGCATTTTGATCAGATGGTAAAAAGCTCCGATTCAAACTCACTTATATGCATGTGCATCTTTAAGGGATAAAATGCAATACCATATTTAACCCTCCTGACTGACACAGGTATACTAGCAAAGCCAGGGACATAGTTGACCTAAATAGCAGCAATCAGCCTAAAGATGATAACTCAGTACTGAGCTTTGTGCTTTTCTCTCCTCTTTATACCAGATGAATGAATTTTCATGGCAAACCCCGGAATTTGTCACAAAGAGATAGAGAATGAACCCTGCAATTTCTTCTCATATAGGAATGCTTTGTGACAAAATGAGTGTTTGCTGTTAGGTCATGTGGCAGCAATTACATGAATTCTTAATGGTCATCAAAACCCATGATTTTTTAGCTGGTTGGTCAGATGAATATGAAACTGTACTTGGCACTGGTGAGGCCGCACCTTGAATACTGTGTTCAGTTTTGGGCCCCTCACTACAAGAAGGACGTTGAGGTGCTGGAGCGCATCCAAAGAAGAGCAACGAG